GCTGCAAAAGTTTCAGAGAAAGGTGATAAAATGGCTTTAGTACAAAGAACATCTATATAAAGTAGAACTTTTGATCTTGGACAAAAAAAAAGAAGCTGGGACATGGTAAAGGTCAATCAGATGGTAAGTGGCATAGAAAGCATCAATAAGAATCAGCTGTATGTTCGCTTTTCATATAAAAACTTAGTGGGGCATCAAATGAACCTAACAGATGGTAGCTACCGAACAAACACAAAGAAGGGTTTTTCATGTTTTAGGATTCCCTCTGCAATACATTAAAGATCCTAGACGTTAGTATAGACTCAGAGGATGACTGGACGAGTTAATGGAAATCTATCAAGGGCTGTTAAACAGAAAGACAAGGCAAGTCAAAAGTGTTCATTTTAAGAAATACCTGAGATGCAGATCTTGGAGGGGAGGGGAGTTTTCTCGCGAAGTCCTTCCTAGGTACCTCCTTTGGCTTGCTGCTGGAGAAAAGATACTGAGCTGATTGAGCCTCTGATCTGGCTGAGCGCAGCTGTTCTTATTTACTTATTAAACTTACTAATAAAACTGTAACTCAGGATCTACTTTGAAGGATGAGGGAGACACGATCTTGCTAGACATCTCTTCTCAGCCTTACTACTAGTTTCTGCGTTCCTCTGTAGCTGCAGGATGCAAGATTCTATTCACAGTCACAACAACTGTGACTTCATTTTCATTATCATGATTGTTCAAAATAGTATTATTGACTTTCCTATAGTTAGTTTTGGTGCATTTTATAGTTTGCTTGTTCAAAATACATATGTGTTGCAAAAATTGCTTTCTATGTAAATATATTTATGCATATACATATACATCTGTGTATATATATATAAATATATCAGGCTTCCACAGAATAATTTATGAAGTGTGAGAAGAGGTTGTCATTTTGCTTGTTTCTTGTAGAAAGCATTTGAAACTTGAAAAAAAAAATTAAATGAATCTGTACTTTGCTCATTGTAGTTGTAATTTTTAGATACTGGTAAATGGGTGTGTAGGGGTGCGTGTGTGTGTAGGTGCGTGTGTGTGTAGGTGCGTGTGTTTGTAGGGGTGTGTGTGTGTGTAGGGGTGTGTAGGTGTGTAAGTGTAGGTGTGTAGATGTAGGTGTGTGTGTGATAAAAATAGTCATGGTAAATATAAAAGCCCAGGAAAACAAAAGTCCAATTTTTAGAAAATATTTTGTAAGTTTGCATCTTGTGAGGTTTATTCAAAATCTTATGGCAAAGCATTTCTTAAATTCTACTGATTTTAGTGATCCTACCACCCATTTGACCTCAGCGTTTAAGGCAAAATTGCAGTATTTTAAGTTTTCTTGGTGAGCTCTCACTTAGGGGTCACAACTGAGAAATGTTGAGCCTGAGCAGGTGCAAAGCTTTCTAATATAAAATAAGGCTGAAATCAGTGTAAATAATTTTCAACTACAAGTCAAGAGCATCAGTTTTCTTAAATTACACTTTTTATATCATACAGTTAAAACAGCTGCCCTGAAATATCTTCTTACAGACAACATAACATATGACAGAAAATTAATGCTAACAGCATAGTTTATGTTCATATAAACAACAATGTCGTGTCATACTGATATAATTTTGGCAGTCTAATACACCTTTAATATAAAAACAATTCCATGTACTGATATTGTACTCAATCAATCACTGCATGTCTCATGAAAAATGGCAACATTTGTTTTTTCATTTGACACAAGGGCCAGAGCAAAAGTGAATTGTGTGTGTAGGTCTTCTTTTTAGGGTGTATTCAGTCGTATTCAGTCCACATTCTCTTCTGTGCTTACATTCAGCCCAGCAGAACTACTTAAACTCTGTATATATTAATATTCTTTTACTATTTTCTTGTCAGTATCTTCAATTTGTTTACTTTGTTGACACTTTCTGCTATTAAGGCACTCATAGGAAACAAAATATTCTTAATTAATCTTATCATTGTCCTCTTACTGGTCTGTGGTGTCTCTGAAGTCAGAAACTGCATTTTTTGTGGGATATTGTGTTGCCAGCTCCTATCTGATGTGCTGCCACCTGTCACCCAGAAGTCTTTTCACTCCTGCTCTCCAAGTATATTCTCCTACTGAATCTCTTAAGTGATTTGATGCTGAATTTATTCCTTGGCAGAGGTGTAACATTTGACAGTTCTGAAGGTTTTAGACTTGCATGTATTGGCAAAACAAGTAGTATACAGATAGAAGCTGATCCTTTTTTTCCTGATACTGGTCTGTCATCATGCTTCATGTCTTAACTGTGTGGGGATATACCTAGAAGGATGTCAGTCTTCTGGGCCTGCGCAGCTCTTAAAGTCTGTTGGAGTATAGCTTAGTTCAGAAGAAATATCCTCTTTGCAGTTGTCAGCGTGCAGCAAGGAGATTGCTAGGAGTTAACCATGTATTAAATTTCTTCTAGGATTTTTATTGGGGTTTTTACTGAATACTAAGTAAATAAGTATGTATTTATATATATACATATAAAATTAAGAGTAAACCTAAACAGCATTTCACAATAATCATTTTGCTTTATGGTTCTCCTTTGCCTCGTATTTCCTGGGTACAAAGTGAATAGGCAACATATTTATGAATAGTTTCAGAACTGGAGAGATATATATACAGGAGAGCAAAAGCAAACTGAAGAAATAAAGGGCTATGGGTGGTGAGAAATGTTTAAGTTAAACAGGGGTAAAGTGTTGGCTGCCTTGTTTATCATTAGAGTTTGTTTATTTTCTAAGAGAGTAATGCACAATAACTTGAAATGCCTTTTGGAATAAAACTGGGAGCAACTGACAGTGGCAAAAAATTCTGTGAGCAGTTAATAAGTGCCTCTGTTAGGAGGCTGCTGGGCTATGGCCATTTTGGGAGTGGGAGGGGTCACTTACTACCCCAGCAATATTCAGTTTTACCTTAAGCCAGCTGTAGGGTTCCCTAAGAGACTGGGGAGGTAATTTGTTTGTCTCCCAGGAAGTCAGAAATGTAGTTAACGTACTGCGTTTACATACACAATTACATATGGTATATTATGTTCTTTATACACCAGAATTACAAATTTCTGCTCCTAAAGGGCAGTTCTGCCTTTGGTAGATTTTAGATGAGTTGCTAATTTGCACTTAATAGCTCTCGTCTTTCAAAGCAACCCTTTCGCACTGAGTGGTAGGAAAGCTGCTGTGCAGCACGGCTTGCAGGGGGTGCTTGACTTACACAAACCAATTTCTGGATATCGGTGACATGAAGTAGCTCGTTAGAGTATTAGGGTGGTGGGCTGTCACTGTAATTTTCCTTTTCTGTTATCAGAACATCATTTCCGTAATAATTAAATTATTTTAAATTGCTTGTGACACTTGTATGACATTTCCTCTCTGGTTGTAGGAAGAGGAATACAATGCAAAGCATCTGGAAGGATGCTGACAAGTTACAGCGAACAGTGCATAGCTGAAACTTGTGCTAAGTTCGTAGTGTAATAGGTTCCTTCTTCAGGAATGTTTAATCATACTAATGTTTTATTAAATTAACATGAATCAATTGGTAGATATACAAGAGAAGATTTTTACTTTAAAGGCCTGCTGAATCCCCACAGCCTTTTTATCTTTTCGTTAGAGATTTTGTTATATTTGAAATTTAGTAGAAAATGATTACTTATTAGTTCTTTAGTTTTAGCAGCAAATCCCATTTATTAAATCGATTTTATTAAGATTTAGAAACCTCCCACAAGCATTTGACGGCACTGCTCTGAAAGGCTCAGTCTCAGAGACCTACTGCTGTGAAGTTAAAATTGCAGCCTGAAATACTTTTCTGGTTTAGGTATAACAATAAAATGTTGGGATTATACTTGTTCTGAAGTGCTTAAAATGCATGTAAAAATCCAAGCATTACAGTGCACAGAATGTCCTTAAACTTTTCTCTGTTCAAATATTTCATTAATGCTTCTCTCCAGCTCTGAGCCAGTATGACTGTTGTGTGTGGGATTAACAAAATCAAGTAGGAAATTAGCAAGAGTGTGCACTGTCAGTCAAGGTTTCTTGCTGAGGACTTCCCGTTAATGAGCTACCACACCCTCACAAGGTCTGTAGGATGTACAAACCAGACATAAATGCCTACTGAGTAAATCCTTAGTGTTAATTTTTAAGAATCCTTAAAAAAAAAAAAAATTAACATTTGCCTGATCACAATACACATGGCACTAAAAATGTTATACCAGAGAGATTTTGCTGTGTTCTCAAAGTATAAAAGTCTTCATGTTGGTTGCAACAAAATGTGTAATAAGTGTGTGTCTACATTTTGCTCTCTCTGTTGAAAGGGTGTTTCAGAACAGCAGAAATACATTTTGCTCTCTCTGTTGAAAGGGTGTTTCAGAACAGCAGAAACTCTAATACTTTAGTATTTATATAAAAACTTTATAAATGACATTCACCAAAAAGCCCGGAACACTCTCTGGCATTAAAGCTGTCAGTCTGTTGAATATATGGCATTAAGGCTAATGCTTGAATATCACATTTGGATAAATAAGTCATACACTGTTAATGCTACATAACAGAATCACAGAATCACAGAATCACAGAATAGTAGGGGTTGGAAGGGACCTCTGTGGGTCATCTAGTCCAACCTCCCACCGAAGCAGGGTCACCTACAGCAGGCTGCACAGGACCCCGTCCAGGTGGGTCTTGAATATCTCCAGAGAAGGAGACTCCACAACCTCCCTGGGCAGCCTGTTCCAGTGCTCCGTCACCCTCAGAGAGAAGAAGTTCCTCCTCATGTTCAGACGGAAAAACATAACCTCAAATAATGATTCATTACATAAAAAGATGGTAGATGTCTCAGAAAATCTGGTGGCGGGGGGTTTTAATCCAGAGGGAAGAATGGTGTGATTTTGTGTGGTGTTTCTAATCTAGAAAAAAATGTACAAAATTAATTTTATATATAGTTACTCATGTAAGAATATGTACTGAGAGAGGAGAAAAACACCAAAATATATATTTTCCTTTCTTCTTTTTCAGGTCAGAACTGTGGAGGCTTAGTACAGGGACCAAATGGTACTATAGAAAGCCCTGGATTTCCTCATGGTTATCCAAATTATGCCAACTGCACGTGGATCATTATCACAGGAGAACGTAACAGGATACAATTGTCATTTCATACTTTTGCCCTCGAGGAAGATTTTGATATTTTGTCAATTTACGATGGACAGCCACAGCAAGGCAATTTAAAAGTGAGGTAAGGTACCTTTTTTCCTTTCTTCATTTCTTTCTGTCTCTCTCTCTTTACCTGTCTCTTTGTCTCCTGAATATACGTTCTGATAATATGTTACAATTGCTTTGTACTTCCTTAGTCCATCCCCAGCCAAGGGGATAAGCAGTGCCCCAAGATCTCACAGCAAAATATTAATGTTAATCCAAGTTTCAGATCTTTATGTCCCTAGCTTGTGTATCAGTAGCATCAATTGTACTTAAAATCTGCATGGGTCAAGGTCAGTTTTAGTAAAGGCCCTGAGCACAGGAATATCGCACGTTGCAGTAGCTAATTTTTATTTATCTGTCCCCCAGTGGAACCCAGATTTGGCCCAGGGACCCTTTCCTAAAGGCACCTGTCCCCATTTTTTGAAAGAACTCTTACTGAGATCACACTTTACTTTTGTATCATGTCTACAGTATTTGATCAGAGGGTGGGTATGCTGCTTGTGCTAACAGTGTCCAAGGGTCTCTCACCGAATGTGGCCCAGAAGAAGTGGTGGGCGACACAGTAGTTTGTGAAAGGCACAATCTCATTAGTGAGTGTTAGGCAACCTCTGGAAATGCTTGCCAGATTAAATCCTTCAGGTGACTATTGTCTGCCTTGGAGATGAGTTGAGCTGTAAATTGTTTGTCTTTGCCAAAACTGAAATTCTTCTCCATGTCCAAGTAAATACAATTATTAAGTAGTTAAGGACCCTTAAAGGTCAGAAAGTGGGGTGTCTTGCGTGTTCAGATACCACTGAGGTTACAAAAAGGCTTTATGGAAGCTTTTTCATTTTGAAGCTTTTCACAGCTTCAGCTTTTGGTGCAGTTAATTAATTTCATTGGTGTCTTGTTTTGGGTTCCTCAGTCATTTGCAGGATCTGGACTGCAGAGCTGGAAAACCAACATTGCTTTCAGTGCTACTTTGTCATTTTCTGTTCAGGCATGAGATTTATGGAGTACTGCAAAACACTGCTGTCAGTTCTGTTGTCTGATTACTCTTCTACATGCTTCTGATTTATATTATACTGCTAAAACAAATGTGGGAACATCACCAGTTTGTTCCACATTTTAGGGGGTATCATCAAATATTTTTGACAAGAACACTGTTCTGATTGATTGTTGACTCAGTTCAAAAAGTTTTGAAAACTGTAGAAGGTAGTACACAGCTACCAATCCTTGAGTTGCACAGTGTATGTGCTTCATTTGTGGTACTTAATTGACCTTTAGTACTTGTATTGACATTATACAAGGATTAGTATTTCTTTTTCAAACACATTTACTATCAATAGCTAACGTGTGTGCTTGTTTTGTGCTGATCTGTTAGTGGAAAATTCTTTCAAGGAAGAGCACCAACAAATGTTCTGTGGGTATGACCATAGAAGAAAGAAATTCCTAAGGATGGTCTTGATCCCACTGAAGTCATTGTAATTGCCAGTGATTTCAACAGCAGAAGGATTTAATTTCAAACTTCCAGCAGTGAATCAGATATTTTGTTTATCCTAGCTTGTATTTCACAGAATCACAGAATCACAGAATGTTCGGGGTTGGAAGGGACCTCTGTGGGTCATCTAGTCCAACCATCCTGCCGAAGCAGGGTCACATACAGCAGGCTGCACAAGACCTTGTCCAGGTGAGTCTTGAATATCTCCAGAGAAGGAGACTCCACAACCTCCCTGGGCAGACTGTTCCAGGGTTCCGTCACCCTCAGAGGGAAGAAGTTCTTCCTCATGTTCAGACGGAACTTCCTGTGCTTCAGTTTGTGCCCGTTGCCCCTTGTCCTGTCGCTGGGCACCACTGAAAAGAGTTTGGCCCCATCCTCCTGACACCCACCCTTAAGGTATTTATAAGCATTTATAAGGGCCACTTCCTCCCCAGATCTGGCAGGCAGCACAGAC